GATAACAACGCTGAGGTGAACTGTGTTGAAGAGAACATATAAGTAGGAAGTCCGAGATGAAAGAAGCTGCCAGTGACATCAGTACTGGTGAGAGCAACATATGGTGTGGAAAGTGCCAAGAGCAAGAAGCTCTGGAGCACTAATCCTCCAAAGTTGGTAACATGTGAACAAGTATCATCTACAGAATGGCAGAAAAGTACTTGGATGATGGCAAAGATTATCTGAACTATTACACAATACTTATACAGTACTAGTGCATCCTACTCATGTTGGCAATTGCCATTGATGGAGACTTCTGCCACTGGCAGTGTAGTGCAGGTGGAGCTCAGCTCAGCTACACAGGAGTCATGCAAATGGCTTACGAGGGGTCAACCATTTTGTCCTTGTGACCGAAATGTGAAGCAGCACTGGCGCCTCGATCAAGGCGTTATTCATTCCACGTAGTATGCGCCTACATTCTGAACAGTACTGTGTAGGGTAGCATTCAAATATCCACAAAGGAGGTAACATCAAACGCGCATCACGCCTAGGCTCCAAATAAGTCGGTATATTCTACGACCAAGACATTAATTCAAGCAAGTGGTATATAGCGCCTCGCGCATCGTCCGTGCGTATATGCATGTAATTTTTCAAGTCTAATCACTCCACCAAGCTTCCGATGCGCACGTCAGTCTAGTTCAACAAAGCATATCCAACCTAGAAAAAACTCACCTAAACTCAGCATCTCTCCCATCGCCCACCTGCAAACTCCAGTGATTCTCAACGCCCAGAACCCGGTGGTAAGCATTGAGGTTCTTGTGTAAGGTGAGTTGGAAGACACTGGCACTGCCTTGGCGGGAAATGATGGTGCTGTAGGCGAGGAAGAAGACCCAGATTCGGTACCAGCGTTCGCCGTATTTGTCTACGACCTAGAACACGTCACGTCAGCATTGCGTAGGTATAGGGAGGATGTGCAGGACAAGAGGGAGGTGGGAAAAACAGACACACCTCCTTGCGGTTGCTAACCCAGTTCAAATACCACCTCCAGATAGTAGCGCTATAATGTACGCCCAAAACATCAATATTCTTAACTTCAAACCCGGCGGCTTCGACTTGGTTGACGACCCAGCCGAGAGAGCAAGAAGCGTCTGCGCCAGGGAATATGTATTTATTCATGAAGAGACCCCTGCGTGGTGTTAACGTATGATATGCCAGACAACAACTACACCTACCAGATGAGATCCTCGTATTGCCACGAAGGACGGATACCGGCGACTTGGAGGACGAAGATGCCGTCGTCTTCGAGGAGGTCGTACATTTGACGCATAAATGAACCGTACCGCCTAATTCCGACGTGCTACTGAACGTTAGACGAGGAGATATTAAGAGTACGTAGTGCTTACCTCCGCCATCTCAAGAGAGACGATCTTCGTAAAGTGCCCTGGGCCGCCTGGGATATCCCTATAGTCCATGCATAGGATACGAGCCTTGTCGGGGGTAACACCGTTGGTCTTGATGCGCTCATTACCGAACTTGGTCTGGTTTTTGCCAAGGGTGATGCCTGTGACGTCGCATTTGTAGTTTTTTGCCGCGTAGGCTGCGAGTGTACCCCAGCCGCAACCGACGTCAAGGAGACGGTCTTCAGGTTTCAGGTTCAGTTTGGAACAGACGAGGCGGAGCTTGTTGTCTTGAAGTTCTTCGAGGGATGCGTCTTTGTTGGCATCTGTGATGACGCCGGAGGTATAGATCATGCGTGGACCGAGGAACCTGTAGGGTATTAGAAAGAATATCGTTGAGTTGAGGAGGGTACGTACCATGAGTAAAAGTCATCGCCTCCTGCATGGTTGGAGTGAGTAGAGTGATTGAGAAAGTAGAGGAAAACTTACTGTCGTAGTGGTCGCGAACCTGTTCTTCGTCTTGAGATTGAGAGTGAACGATGACCTCTGGAAGGAGATTCATGAAGACGTATTTGAAAAGTTCAGGCGTCATGACCATTTTTGCCCAATCGTGACGGTCTTCCATGATGTCCAGCACGTCACCTGTGCGCATTTGTGAGCATTATAGCAGACACGTAAAAAATAAATGTTACCGTTAAAGTCAATCTTGCCCTCAAAGTACGCGTCGTGGAAGACCTGCATTGGGATTTTTGTGTTGCCGTGGTATTTTTCCTTGAGTTCCGGGTCGTTGATAGTGATATAGTCTTCGAGGTCTTTACCAGGCATAAGAACTTTGACGTTTTTACGACGGCCGTAAATGCTCGCGACGGTCCAATAACCGACGGTGATTGGGATACCTGTGATGACGAGAATGAAGATATATGTCTTGAGACCGCCACGGTTTACAAAGGGAAGGATGCGTTTGATGACCCATGGTATGACGAGGACGAGAGCGGCGAGTTGAACATTTGAGAAATAACCATTGCCTTCCGCTAGACCAAGCAACGGTGCATTTTTGATAGAAGGGACGTTCGTGATACGAACAGGTGAGAACGTCATGGATCCTCGCCGTTGCTGCTGGTCTAAATTGGAGAGAAGCTAGTTTTTATGTTTTGGCGCTTATGTTTTGTTTGCATTTGTTTGTATCAAGCGTGGTCTTAAGTTAAGAGCGCCACTCGTCGTTTCGTGGACTCCAATTCCAGCCTGCATAGATTTGTCTTAGAAGTCGAACGGAGGCATGTTGAAGATTAGGCATGAGATCGAGGCAAACGGAGTTACTCATTGTAAAAGACTAGCTGATACATTTTTACCGGCATCGCCAGTTCAACAGACAGGCCTCGTTTGTCTGCGCAGAGCAGAGCATGATGGATCCGAAGTACAATTCGCTCGACGAGTCTCCTGGAGAAACCAAACTATTCAATCAAATTCGAGTCTGACTCACGAGTGTCGGGGTTGATGAGGGGCGGCGCCATTGGCCAGGACAGCGCTTTTTCTAGCGTAGAAGTAGGGCGAGTATAAAATAATCACATCTAATCACGAGACCATCGCTGCCGAAGTTATGGCTTCTGTTCGTAACCTTACAGACGTCAGAACACTAGAGGTGAACATTGAAGTTGCATTCATTTTCAAGAACGGAGGTTTCTGATATGTTTTTATTCATCCTTGACAGTACTCACATGCTGTGGCTATTGTTGCAGGCCTGGGACAGTTGTGCGCTCATCCCTGAAACCGTACCTTCACGGCTCTTCCATCAATGAAACGCGTTATCCCCACCTTCAACGATAGCAAATATAATTGACAAGGAGATGTCGGACCGCGCACTACCTAAGCAAGTTTTGTTGGAAGTCACCCGACGAACAAACGTCGAAGATATCAGTTGCTGTCGATCTTACGCCACTTTGTCGTCTCTCCTTGTGCAAGAATGCATTTTCGGAGAACGCTTTGAAGCGTTTCATAAGGTAAGTTTGCGTCGGTCTCCAGTCCGTTCGTCATCTCATCTCGTGCAAAGACATTTTGCCGGATCATGCTACCAAGGGACAGCCCTTTAAAACTGTAAATTTCCTGTGCTTGTATTGGAAAAGCGGTTTTGTCGACAGAGGTCATCAACGATCCGGCCGACGGTTGACCCGTCTCACAAGGTACTGAAGCGCCTTAGCCCTTCACAACTCAGTGTTCTCAGCGGATCAGTAAACCTGGTGTGTCATCACTATTGTACTAGCAATGATAGATGGTCGAATGTATATATATGGAAAAGCCAAAGCAATAGATGAAGATGGCAGTGACGATGGCATTTGGTGAGATTTTCAGGTTGCCCATATCTGCAGTCTCGTGTGGGATTGATGTATCGCAGCTAGACGTGAAGTCACACATTTATTTGAATGCGTTCTTGAGCCTCAACAAGGTATTTCTGTATGATAGTATCCCAAACTTCCAACCTAGGCTATTACCCCAGCACCAGCCAGTTCCAGTTACAGAGTCAACTGCCACGGTAGCGTATCACTATGATATTATTAACACGGCAAGCAAGAAGCGGGTTTACCCTTTCTTTCCTCTTTGCGAGTGAACCACCCGTTGGGACCTACACCTCCATCGACGACAGAACAGCATTCAATACAATTGCAAGTGTCAACAACCTGAACAAGGTTGTCTATCGAACAAAAAAAACAAAAACGGTATGTTCCTGTTATAACCCGCGAGTCGTCCGCACTCATACTTTTCTGCAAGCATCCCTAAGTATGCAGTCTGAGATCAAAATATGGGTATGGTCACCAGTCTGGACACATGGCCCACCAACACTGGCAGATAATCATAGTGGTGAGTGAGACGAACTTCATTGTAGCACTTGAGGATAAGTCTTGACTCTGGATAGTGTTCTTTGTTATTGGACTGAAAGAAAGCTTCTTGAGCGGTGTGAGCATGCTTCAGAGAGTTCGAACGACGTCTCGCCACCGTGCGGAGCGCTGCTGAGCGTTGCCAAGCAGGATTCGGAAGGACTGCAAATTTCTCACCTCAGGACCGTCAATTTTCCGGTCTGAAATGTGTAGTACGCAAATCGATATAAGTGACACGCATGTTTGAGTACGAAAATTACCGTTTTTCTGTCATCTCAGGGATTTTATTTAGAGATGAGGTCCGATGGTTAAGCTTAAGGATAGTAGCGGGGAACGTATAGCCTACATATTTTTGCAGGCAAGCATTATAACAGCTCCGCGAACTGAGCTAATACACGACACGCACCAGTCCGTTGCGAGCGAATTGGTGGACACAGGACGAGGGTTCGTGCTACATACACCACCATCCAGAGCTTGTGTGGCCGAAGTGAGCATCATAGACCTGCCCGTGTAGTCATTGGAGATAGCGTTGTTGGATATCTGGGATGTGCGAGAGTGTTGAGCCTCTTGCCTCTTGAGCCGAAGCGACATAATGGGCCGTCATCAAAGGCGATGCGGTGGAGGAAAAGGAGAATAGGCTAACTATACAAGTTAATGAAAGTGAAACGCACCATTTACGATTCCACCAATTTGCAGAGAAGACAGCGTCTTGGTGGTTGGCCTGTACCCTAGTGTGTGTAGGTCCGGGTGTAAGCTGCGAATTCATGAAGCCATCGATCTACAAGAGCTATCATTCAAATAACAGTCAGTTATGGCGTTATACTTGTAGCATCAACGGAGATCTAGGCCAGTGACTAGGACAGCAAGGAAGAACTGCTTACTCATTTGAAAAATATCGGGAAAGCGGATCATTTCTATGAAATTTGGACACGAGCTTGGCACCAGCGAGTTCTCATGGAGCCACGTCTATATCGCGTTGCCACGGCGCATCAGGTTGTTGAATCGGACACACAGCAGATGTATGATGTTTTGGGTTGACCATCCTATATATAAAAGCAAAGCGATAACTTTCAGTCCAATAACAAAGAACATCATCCAGAATCCAGACCCAGCCTCAAGTGGAACAATGAAGTTCATCTCAATCACCACTATAATTATGTCTGCCGCAGTACTGGCGGGGATCGTTACAGCACAAGACCCTACCGGTATGCCATGCGACCAGCCTGGTGAATATCTTCAGCATACCCGTATTTTGATCTTAGACTGCACACTTACGGGTGCTCGCAGAAAAGTATGAGTGCGAATGGGTCCCGGGTTATAACAGTGGCTTTGCGTATTTGTTTTTCTGTTCAGCACAAAGCACTCAGGTGGTTGTTCAGACTTGCAGCTGTATGGACTGCTGTAACGTTGTCAGCGGAGGTGTAGGTGCCGGCGGGTCCTACAACTGCACATAAAAGGAAGGGGTGAGCCCGCTTCTTGCAATCTTGCTGTGTCAATAATGTCATAATGATAAATTACAGCTGACTTCGCAACTGGTGGCACTGGCTCTGGGGAAGGGAGCTTGGGGTACATAAATATGTTGAGGCTCAAGAATGTATCTAAACACATGTGTGACTCCTACGATATGTTAATCCGACCTTGGGCTGCAACGTGAAAATCTCACCAGACTCATCAGCATCTTCGGGTTCTCCAGATACACCTTCGACCATTACTAGCACAATATTTGATGACAGTGACACAGGTGCTTACTGAGAGGAAGAGTTGTGAATATGCTGATAATTTGTTTGCTTTTGTTTGTATCACGCGTTCAAGTGACAAGTACTCGCAGCAGTCGCCTCACTCACCTACTCCCGCGATGTCCTACTATTCACGTTCACCTCCACCTCTTCAACACCCAGTCCCGACTCATCCAGCTTTCATACCAGAACCGCCTTCAACGCCAGCATCACCTCAAGGCTACCAACGCTTTGTTAGTTCGCCACCACCAACCCAACAATATGCCGCACGAACTCAATACAATCCTCCTCCGTTTCAACCAATCCCAAATCCTCAACACCAACACATTCCCGACTTTGCGGCATGGGGCATGAACGACAGTACCGCTCAGTTCGGAATGCACTTAGGTCAAACAGCTGTTGCTGCAGGCCAAGATTATGTCCAAAAGAATGTACGTGTCCTTCATTTATGTTTGCTATACTCGCTCACCATGAACAGTTCGCCGGCATGATACCAGTCACCATGCTCAAACACCACTTCAACGTCTCAAATTCTTACGTCATGCACAAACTCCAGCTCGTCGTATTTCCTTGGCGACATAAACCCTGGACACGAAAAGTCCGTCGCACAGAGGCTGGTCACACAGAATGGCAGCCTCCTCGCGACGATATCAATAGCCCTGATTTGTACATACCCCGTGCGTCTTTTTTCTTCTCAATTCATCCTTTCTTATTCGTTGCGCAGTCATGGCACTCGTCACCTACATTCTTATAGCAGCGCTTCAAACAGGCCTTCAAGAACGATTCCACCCCCAGATCCTCGGCACAAGCGCAACACGTGCTCTCCTCGTCGTCCTACTCGACTTTCTCTTTGTCCAGTGCGGCTGCTACCTCCTTAATGTTCAAGGCACGGGTCAGGTGGTAGATTTGATCGCTTATGGCGGGTATAAGTTTGTCGGGTGTGTCCGCTCTTTGCACCCTTTTACTTCGTTGCTAACTCGAGCCAGCGTCATCCTCACGCTCTTCGCGGGTCTCCTCAATCTAGGCACAACGATATACACACTCGTATTCTTGTACGCGTTCGCGGCAAACGCGCTATTCGTAGTATGTCCTGTCCCTATACCAAACATCACTTAATACTCACATTCACACTTGCACCCATGTAGCTTCGCTCCCTTCGCTCAGTGGTCCTTCCCGACTCACCCGCCAATGTAGGCACTGTCAACCCCGCATCTAGAAAACGCCGCATCACATTCTTGTTCCTGGAGGCTGTTTTGCAAGTCGTATACATGGGTATCTTGGTGAGGGTGTGAGTCTTGGCGTGCTTTCGAGTCGTCGCGCTGTGGTAATATAAAAACTACCATGCATGCGAGTGTTGATCGTGATGATATTAATGTTGATGGGAGTATGTGTCAGATATTTTCTTTGTGGAGGGTTGTAAGTAGTAGTTCATCGTGAGCTGAGGTTGAGAACTCGTCTCGACGATACATCTCGGCCGGACGCACAAATCAAGACAAGAATGTCAATGGCATGACCCACCTGTATATCACAGAATGGCTAAACATCAGTGAGAAAAAGAATTGTGGTCGACATGAGGTTCTCAGGCCGGGCTTAGCGTTCAAGTTACAAAGAAAATAAGGCCATTCTCGGTCCCGCTGCTGCGGCCTTTGGTTATGGTTGCCCTGAGTCAAACGCAGAATATGTTCTGGACGAATCATGGCCAACGCAGTGGTTCTGTTGCTTGCATTCTGATGCACGTTGAATATCAGGGGAGCTCCCTTGGAGATTCTGAATCTGCTTGGCATCAATAACCCTTCCCGATGACAGTCACTCTAAACTAGTCAAATACTACAATATCATACCACAACCGAAAAAAGGGTATCATATATCAGGCAGACTCCAGCATATAGCTGCCAGTATTACTCTCTCGTTAGTCCCCGCGCACTAAGCACTTCACATAACGATGACGCATGCTGGCACAAGTTGCCCCCATCCATATAATAGCCGCCGTTCTGATGAAGGCCAGTGAGCCAAAGAAAATGATGAGCTGTGCAACCTCCAGAAATCACATACCACGTAGTATTCGCAGGTGGCCACATCACCCGCGTTATCCTCATAGCTGCCAGCCCAGATCAGTCACTTTGCTCGATGAAGATGAGAATGTGACGTACGTGCAAATGTACGCCTTGGCGGACTGCAGGGTGCTGTTGACTAACCGGTAGCTTGTCGTACCGACTTCCAAGGTGCGATTGCACGTTGCACATCCTGCGTTGGCACCAGCGAGGAAGGTGAGCAGCGTAAGGATAGTGAAGCGGGAAGTGAACATTAAGGAACGTGTTGCAGTGAATTGGATGTAAAGCCATAACAGACAAGTATTTTATAGGCTGAAATTACTGGGGCCGTCGCAATTTCGCCTTAACGCACACGTAACCTTGAAGCAGCAGGCCTAGGATTCGGTACTTGAGCGAAGAGAATCAAACTCTTCGCAGACCACGGGTAGAACTGTGAACGTCATTCTCACTAAATTATTGAGGTTGCAAGAGTGACACTGAGGGCTAGATGCACCTACTATTATCTAACGAAACTTCTGCTGTGAAAGGATTGACTAAGGGATTGTCACACTGTACAGGCTAGTCTCACCATTGAATAGCACGAAGACACTCGTTCCTTCTATGAAGCTTTGCAGCTAACGATATCAATTACATAAACTCATCTCATCGATGGACAGAAGCAGTGGAAAAGTTAACGTTGGCCGCGAGATGCATTTCCGAAGCTGAAGGCCTTCGGAATCGAGAACCATCGAATTAAATGTGAGTCAATCACAGCTAAGCTCGGCATTCAGGTAGACGGGACGAAACGTGAGCATCTGTCGGGAATGACACCAACCACAACCGTCGGCACGTGCAGTGGACTCCACAGCCATCCGTTATGATCAATGCGGCACATTGTGATTGTATGGTCAATTCAGGACTCGAATCGTTGACACAGATATATAACAGCACCGGAACATTAACAAACAAAAGTCAAGGATTTCGCAGCAAATGCCATGAGCCGCCAAAACGTCTTCACTAAATTCCCACACTCAATTTCAACTCAATTTGTCTCTTAGTTGACCACTGCGTGATTCTCTGTCTGCGAAATATCGCTTCGTATCAGTCAAACGCGTCCATGTTGGTATTGTGCAGACATTCCTCAAAGTTAGCTCAACGAGTGATTCCCTCAGTCTGCGAAATATCTGGCTTGACGCCATAACAAGCGCCCAGTCACGAGGACAGCCCACGCGACGGTAACGTATCACTATCTTGACATAGCGCGGATTCCCTTTTCCTCTTATGAGCACTTGACGTACCCGCCAGGACCTACACCTCCATCGACGACAGTACAGCACGTAGAACAGCTGCATTGGCCCATGACCATGACAGTTTTGGTTGTCGAGCATAAAAACAAATACGGCAAGCCCCCGTTATAACCCGCGAGTGTTCCGCAATAAGTACGCGGTCTCCGTCTGACATCAAAATATGCTGAAGGTATTCACCAGGCTGGGTGCATGGCCCTCCGTTAGGGTCTTGTGCTGTAACGATCTCTGCCAGTACTGCGGCAGACATAATCGTAGTGGTGAGTGAGGTGAACTTCATTGTTGTACTTCAGGATAGGCTTGAACGATGCCTTTCTAAGTTATCGCTTCGCATTTATACATAGGCAGTAAAGGGCGCTCAGCCCCCAAACATGCATATACTGTGCGTTCGACGGAGCAACACAATGTGCCGTGGCAATGCGATATCTCTAGACGTGGCTCCACGAGAAATGACTCATATAAAGCTCGTGTCAAAATTTCATAGACGATAATCCGCTTTCCCCATCTTCATAGTTCAGTTTCCTCAGAGCCTTTTTGTGTCATCATTATAGTGGTAAACGGTCGAAGGTATATATGCGGAGAAGCCAAAGCAATCGATGAAGATCATAATGGCGGTGACGTTTGGTGAGATTTCACGTTGGTCATAGTTGCAGCCCAAAGTCAGACTGGTGCATATATCGCAGCTGGACGTGGAGTCATACACTTATTTGAATACGTTCTTGAGCCTCGACGACATCTTTCAAACCCCCAACCGGCTATTCCGCCAGCGCCAGCCAGTACCATTAATTACGGAGACAGCTGTGTTGTATCATTATGATAATACAGATACAAGCAAGAAACGAGCTCACCCTTTCCTTTATGTGCAGATGCAGAACCCGCCGGGACCTACACCTCCGTAAATGACGGTACAACAATCATCACAGTTGCAATTCCGAACGACCAGGACGGTGCCGTCTGCTTGACAGGTATACAAATACGGAAGGATAAATATTCCTCGCCAGCACTGCGGCAGACATAACCATAATGATGAGTGAAATGGACTTTATAGCGGCACTTGAGGACAGGCCTCTTCGTTATTGAACGTTACTACTTTGATTTTTTACACAGTAGTAAGGGGCATTAAGCCTCCAAACATGCATCTATTATTGTGTGCGTCGGACTAAATAACCTAACGCGCGCCGTGGCAACGCAATATCTCTTGACGTGGCTCCTTGATATCTTTCTAGTGTCAAGCTCGCGTGGAAATTTCATAGACGATCTGCTTTTCCGACGATCTCCAAATAAGTAAGTTCTGCTGCAGTTTTTCCTTGCCGTTCAAGTCACTGGCCATATCTGGCCCAGAGTATGCATACATGCTGCAAGTCTTCACAGGAATTTGGAAGTACTTTTTATGCGGGACGGTTTTCCCGATGAGATTCTACCGAAATTTCTGCTGTCTGACAGCAACAATAATTCTTCCAAATCGATCAGAATCGTGCCCATAAGTATATGTAGGATATAAAAGCTGGTCGACATTATGACGGCCCTCCTGCAGCGTTCCCCATCCTCGAAGATATCATTCGAGATCCCCCTCAGAAGTTCAATATTACCTCGTACAGAAAATGCGTTTCTCCCTCCTCGCCGTTGTTGTTGCTTTGACAGCATCTATGTTTATCAGCGCATGTTCTATCCAGGGTCAACCTTGCCAAACATATAATAATTGCTGCGGTGGCACGAATTGTGCCAATACTTCCGTGAGTATGAGCAGGTCGCTGTGCAATCAGGATTCAACCACATGACTCACCTGCGCGCCTTAGGGTACAGGTCTCACTTGCCAGTAATGGTCGGTCGAAAATTGAGCTGGCAGTTTCTGCTTTCGCTTTGGTATCGTGGTTGATGGTGCAATACCTAGTTCGGAGGCAATCAGTACAATTATTTTTGAACAAACTTTTGTGCTACTCGAGCAATGATATGGATATTTAAATTTATTTGAAGATAAGTGACGGTGCCTAGTTTTGCTCGTGGTCTACCAAGCTCGAGTTCGAGTAGCATGGGGGAGCTCGGGAGTGATTATCTTCATCGAGCGAGTGTTGGATGAGGTACAAAGGCGGGCGACGCATCAGTGAACCTGTGAACAGATGAGATTGGTATTTAAAGTAATATATTGTTGAGCATCGCAATAATCATCAATGAACGTAAGATTGCCCACCGCCTTCACATGCACATGGGAATATTATGCATTGTCGAGGAAACACCGATTCAAGTTACAAGCGGACCAGCACTGAAGAATTTTCTTGCGCAACAGATGCATGGAATGCATCAGAAAACTTCAACAAACGAATACTCTCCTTCTCATCATCATCCGCTTGAAATTGACGGTAGTATAGTAGCACGTTTATCGCGGTCGGATCGAGGTCCTTTCGCCATTACAATACTTGCGACAGACACCAAAAGTCTGACAGCGAGGGTTAAAAGCATGTATTATGACTTATGACGGGTGCAGCAACAGTGCGACAAGGACCACATGTGCTAGTGACGAGTATACAGTGTTGGCCACGATGTGTGCGAGTAGCAACGGCCATACTAGTATGGACCAGGCGCTGCTTGCAATTTTCGTTTGCTAAACATGAAGTTAATACGTGAAACGAGCAAGCAGTCTTCGAAAAATACTTTACATTACCTTTGCAAAAAAAAACGAAATAGAACACAAGAAAGACGACTTCTTCTGCAGCCTGAATGTCGCATTTACGAAACGCTTCGATTACCATAGATGAGACAGGGTACAAAGTACTTAGCCATAGCTTTGTGCATATTGCCAAGAAATTCCTATGCGTTGTGCATGTGCTTTCCCCTTGGACCTTGCAAATACGAGAGGACTTGAGTGTAGGTTCTAATTGGTTTTCGTTCATTCTTCACATATAATCTGGAGTCCAAGAAAGAACAGAACTCGCCCGAAGTTTCAAGGTTCGAATTCAAGGTACTGACGAAGAAATCCTGAATGAGATAAGCGCTTAATGAGATCGACTATTAGAAGCGGTTGATTTAAGATAATGGAAGGAATTCCTGTAACGGATGGAATCTAATGATGTGCCCAGCTGTCTGCAGAAAAAAAAATGCTAATCCCGTCCAGCTGTTTCCACTTTACATCCTGCTTAGCATCCATGCGTATGCACCCTTGCCATATGCGGACACAAATCATCCCCATCTTCGTATATGCCGGCGTCCTGATGTACGCAAGCGTGTGTTAAACAAAAATGATGAGCTCCACAGCATCTAGCAAGCACATACCGAATACTCGCAGGTCACCTTAGTGCCCAACTTAGAATTAGTGTAACTGCCAGCTCATCAGTCACTTTGGTTGACGAAGATGTGAGGGTGTGACGTACGTGCAAAGTGTGTACCCGTTGGTCTCAACAGTGCTGTTGGCTAGCGTGTAAAGCGCCACACCATCGACTTCCAAAGTATTATCACATGCTGAACATGACGCGTTGGCACCAGCGAGGAAGGCGAATAGCGCAGTGATGGCGAAACGGGAAGTGAACATTATGGAACTTGTTGCAGTGAGGGAGGTCAAGCCATTAGTATGCAGGTATTTTATAGGCTGAAATTACAGGGGCCGTCACAATTTACGAGACTTCCGCTTCGCCTTAGCTTCAGACGCGCACGTAACCTCAAGGCAGAAGGCCCAAGGTTAAAGTTCGGTACTTGAGCGAAAAGAATCAGAACCCCCAAAAATAAAGAAGTGTGGAATCACTCTCACAAAATCGAGGTCGCAAGAGTAAGACCGAGGGCTACTAGATGCAGCCCCATGTCATAGGCTATGTAGCACAAAAAAAGGTTGAACTGCAGTGCGGGAAGGGGATTGTTTACACTTCGTAGCCGGTTTTCCCGCCATGTACTACTATGCAGACTGTTGAATAAAAGAAAGAGAGTCATTCCTTCCATGAACGTTGCATGAACTTGAGCGCTTGAATTTGAGCGCTTGAGCTTTGTAGGGTATGTCAGTCAATTAAACTCGTTTCATCGATGACAGAGTATTAATGTAAGTTATCGAAACGTTAACGTTGCATATCAGTCAGGCGAAGTCGATTCAACATTAATACTTACGTAAAATGTGGGCGAAGGGTGAAAACATACCATAATATCAACATTCTCCCGGCGTCCGGAAATTGATAACACTTCCATGCTTTACTTGAGCTCATTATCACGACATTTTCCTCGAGAATATCAATTGACACGTACTCACGAAAAAACCTCTCGCGAGAGAATGGATGGCCTTCGATTCTGGAAACAATCATCTGTTCGACAGCTATCCAACAACCGTCGTGTATTCGAACATGAGTCCGCGCGACAATGATTAGCAGATCTACATAACTTGAAACGGCTAGTAAAGTTTGCAAGCTTTGATGATAGTTTGCCAAGTTCTTACTAAGTGCTCACTGATACCAATAGAGTTGCAGCGTGAGCTTGTCATTTGAATGTGACTGAAGTTCCTCGTAGGCTAGCTTTGTTATTGCCTTTTGCTTCGCATTCGGTGACCTGTCCCCATTCTCACTGTTAAGCATAATGAGCATCTAGATTTAAATTTGACCACTGCTGACCATTCCTATAGACCATCTCTTCTATGAGAGTTCAAGTTTAGGCCTCATCGATGCATCCTTAAAAAGCTTAACTTCCGAGCACATCACGCTCAGCTTCTGGCCAACTCCGGCGAGGGAACTGCCATAACTATAATTGCACTTCAGGCAAAACACGTATGAAGAAAATTCTGGACGCAGACGAAATCTACTGATATAGCCAACTTTCTGCAGACCAATATCGCTCCTCTCGTCTGGCCAAACTCCATCACATCCTGCTTAGCATCCATAGTCATCCTTCCTTGAAATTTTTGGGCACTTCTCATCCCCACTCTTTAACTCGCCGCCATCCTGATGACCATCCAACGTGTCAAACGAGAACGATGAGCTGCTCAGCATCCAGAAATCACGTACCGTATACTCGCAAGTCACCACGTCGCCCATCTTATCCACGTAGCTACCGGACCATCAGTCACTTGTCTTGATAAAGATATGAGTGTAACTTACCTGCACTCTGTGAACCCGTTTTCGGTCTTCACATAGCTAGTGACTAGTTCGTAGATCGCTATACCGTCGACATCCAACGATTGTGGACACGTTGCGCATCCAGCGTTGGCACCAGCGAGGAAGGTGAGCAGCATAAGGACAGTGATACGGGAAGTGAACATCATGGAGTTTGCAGTGAGTAATGCAAAGCCATAGCGTGCAGGTATTTTATAGACAGATACTCGCAAATTTCACTTCTCCTCGGGTCATTAGGTGTTGCTTCGCTTCTACTGATAAATTCAACTCAAAAGAAGTCGAGTTGAATGACATAGTAAGTCATTGAAAGCCTGTTCTGAACAAGCTACATTTCAAAGTTGCACTCCCACCGCGTAGCTCAGCATGATGGTGTTGGAAAATGCTCGTCTTAGTTTACATTTTACTAGTACGTGTAGTAGTACTGTTCGGAGGAGTCACTCATCAGCAAAAGACTCATGATTTTCGCTTGTCAGAAAGAAGTTTGATGCTGACGGCGGTGAGCTTACGGTGTTGGTGATCTCGGAGCAACGCGATTGGCGGAACGGACTTATCCCGTATGTACTAATAGTAGTACTTACTTGAACAAAAACACAAACATACTGTGGGAAGAGACGTTATTTGGCTGTTATAAGTTATATTTTGACTCATGTCGTACCATCGGTTACGGTCTGCGATTGAGCTCCATTTCGTGAGTCTCAACTCAGACAGAGTAGCGGGATGTCTTCGGTGAATCCTTCTAGGGCAATGAAGCTTGAATTCCCAATCAGATAATTGATCATCGTGTCAGCATCGGAAGTCCGACATCGTAAGGCCATTTAAACAGATGAATTTCAGAAGATCTTGCGACTCGCGGCGCTTTTCGTTAGTATCGTAATGTGATCAACAACTCCGCAGTCCGGTTATTTGGTCAACCAGTCACATCTCCAGTACTCGTCCACATCCAACGGCTTCGTTGATACTTGGTATTTTCGATCGTGCAGACAGTTTTTAATGAACAGCGGCAGGTGAAAATCAGCAACAATGGCTGGTGAGGAAGTTTAAAGGCAATCCTAGTTAACGGCTAGACGGGTGCTACCCGATGCCTGGGCAGTACTATGCACCAATTACTGGCGTGCTGGATATAAATCCGCATAGAGGATAACCTGAAAAGAAAATGCATCGAGTGAGTATAAGCCATTTAAATGTAGCATCACACCGCGAGCGGAATATGCAAAATAAGGCAGACGCCCGATTCAACACAAATGACCACGCTCCCTCTGGTTTTCAAGTTTTGTTCCTGTCGAGCCTGTGATATTGTAGGATAATATTGTCGTTTTCGCTAAATTGTTTGTAGATGATGTGTGCATACGACTACATGGGTTCATGTACGATAATTTTTTGGATCAAACCTGTTCCGAGTCGTCCTATCTCGTCCAGAACAGCCTGTCGATTTAACATGACAAGATCCTTGTCCTTCGCTTTATCCTCCTATCAAATGTTGGTTTAGATGCAGATGGTTCGATGGGACCGACATACCTTGGCTAATGGCTTGCTCGAGAAACCTGCTAGTGCACGGAAGGGACGGGGTGCTCCCAAACTCGGAAGCCAAATTGCTCCAATGCGATCACCTCCAAAGGGATCAGCAAAGAATTTTAGTGTATCTGCGTACGTGCTCTGGATAGGAAGAGTTGTTAAGGGAGCCCTCCATTCATATGTGAGACACACCTGCAGATCGGCGAGAAACAGTGGAAGAGGATCAAATCCTGGGCGAGGCATCGACTCCGTTATGCCCAAATGAGCGTCTCTAGTCCAAACACTCGACTCCGCGTTGATGTTTTGGTGGTACCTTGGTAAAACTGTAGGGTTTAATTGGATAACAATATCGTAGTCATCGGTGGAATGTAAGAAGAGGCTCTAAAGGACGACGTCAGCTATGTCATCACATGTAAGTCTGTCAATCAACCTTGATATCCAATTCCGTCTCTGCGTTACGAAGTGCTTTGCTGGCCTCCCTAGCAAATGCGCGAAGACGGTGGACAGCAATTGCATCCGGGCCATTTGACGTCCACATTTCAGGTGCCGTTGCCGGGGGATCATCATCATACAATGTAAGACAAAGTGGCTCCTTCCAATCCCAATCTGTTAAGAATTCTAAAACGAGGGAGAAACCACGTTCTTTACTATGAGGCACAGCAGCAGCGCTCTCTGTCGATGTCTGCTTTCCACCAACGAATGGTAGTGCACAAATGATTTCAATAGCCTCCTCTGAGACGTGGGTTTGCAAAAGCCAATGTGCAGCAAGCCAGCGCTTGACAAGGCGGACGGTGCCGGAGTATGCGCTGTACTTGTGGCAAAGATTGACGATGGCACGATGGTGTCGTGGGGCATGAATAAATCGCCGCGTGTAGAGTTCCTGGGCGAGCTTGGCTTCGCGTTGTTCCCGCGCGTTATATTTTTGGTCGCTGGGACTGACAAACATCTTGCCGGGGTCAATGATTCGATCAAGCAAAGTTGCCTCTCGATCGTGCCAAATGAACGCAGAGAATGACCAGCCTTCAGCAGTGAATATTTCTAGTGCAGCGTATCCTTGGAATGGATTTGAGCTACCGCCAGTAGCAATTGACGCCTTGAGTCCGGGGTTTGAAGACATAAGTGATTGGGCGATAGTTTCAAAGAAAGCAAGCTTGATTTTCTGAATTGCTTTTAAGTCATCCGGCCACTTGGATGACTTCTCGAATTCGAGGATGATGGGGATGGTGGGGAGAAAACGTAGGGACTCCGGTAATTCTGCTGAAACCGAGGCAGGGATTGGTAGTGGAGCAAATGTTGAGGTATACCGCAGGTATTCAGATATTGGGCTGACGTTCAGCAGTGCCAGTGGTAGCTGCTCGTCCAGTGCTTTCAGGCTCCTGACGACACCATCGAATGCTGTTAATGCAGCCTTGCACCCACCTGTAGCCCGATGTAGACGACGAACATCATCCGGCAATTGGAGTATGTTGTCGAATGGTGTCTGCAACGTCCTCACATATTTAGCAGAAAGGCCAAAATGGAGTTGCAGCAAATGTCGGACGATAGAAACCGGTATATGTGCACGCTCATCGGACGTCGTAACCTCCCAAACCACACTCTCCGTAATACGACCGTCCTTGAATCGACGAAGCTCAGCACGACTGCCCCATAGATACCGGAACTCCTTTGCAACATTTGAGTCTTGGTCTTCCGCAGAAGGTCCGTGGTCAACAAGACGGAAAGCATGGGCAGGATCATAGATAAGCCCAATGTGAATTATGGACGTGCTGGGGCTTTCTGCGGAGGATATGGGGCGGTAAGGGGTAACAGGTTGGAGGATGGCTATCGCTTGGGTGCGATTGCCAAGACCTCGGCGCAGGAGGGATGAAATAGAGGCCAGGAGGGCTGCATCAGAGGACCCATGTTCTATGACAGTCGAAGTAGACTGGTTTCTCGAAGCTTGCGACAAATTCACTCTGAAAACGGTTAAGCGTGGAATCCACAAACAGAAAGAAAACACTTGCCTGATCACCGCATCAAAGCGAGAGGAAGTTTTGAACCGACTTTTCAGGAAACAGTCAGCAAACGTGTCAGACGATGCACCAGGGTTGCTTAATTGCTCTAGTGTCTCTTTAGCATCGTGACTTAGCTTGATGATTGACAGTCAGCGGTAAGGGTTTACAGATGCTGGCAGCGAAGCTTACCAAGTCAAGTGAGGTAAGAGGAACATCAGACAAAAAGTTGATAGTAGATGTTGCATCTACGAATATGGCTAGGTGGTGGGTAATGTACTCCTCTGGAGGGCACTAGAAAGAAATATCATGCGCAAGTTCCATGTCCGTATACAGAGACGTACCCTGTGTCCATTAGTCGTCTTTGTGAACACCGGAGTCTCGCCGAACTTGTGCTTTGCTAAACTCCCTATCAGCTAATATAATAAAAAGGGAGAATGAAGGGCTTACCAAGAAAATCAAGCGCAGCTTTGAACAATTGATAAGAGCTCAATCCCTTTCCAAGTGGCTTCCTCAAATTTGCGCTCCCGCTCTTTGTGCCAATAAGTTCATCGCCCAAACTCAAATAGCGCAGTAGCCCGGCCCAAAACGAGCCTTTTCTCTCGAAGCCTCTCACACATAATTCACCATCGCTATAACCTCGCTGGTTAGCCCACACTCTTAAAAGGGTATAAGCATCATGAAAGGCTGGCAGTGCATTTTTGAGTTCATGAGTGGACATGAGCGCTTCTTTTGCACATGTGGAAAGAAGGATGGTGTTGTTGTAGATGGGAGTAGGGAAATTTGGTGGAGACGAGGACGAAGGTACGCGGACATTCGAATGTGAGGGCAAGAGCCTTGACGACGATAACGGACTCGATGACGAAAGGACAGGAATAACATGAACTTCAGTATGACTTTTGGAAAAATCATAAGATGCGCTCCCTTGCAATAATGTCAGTTATATTTCCGTTATTGAATGAAGTATTATACCATTCCGTGACCTAAGAACCAACGTGGTGAGGCGAGGGTCTCCGAGCGCAGATGAGTAAAAGGTGTCCACGTCGAAAGCGGTTGAAATAGATTGAGCTAAAATAGCGAGGTAATAGGACTTCTTGTGGAAGAAGCGCCCATCGAGGTAATCTTTCTCTTGAAAAAGAGCCTGCCATACATCGTTCAGTGGTAAGGAAGACGATTGAGCAAACATCGCACCTCGGGCATCTCCATAGACAGGTCAACGCTAAACCGACTGCCACTCTGCTTTTTCACCGCGATTCCGTTTCCCCAACTTCCAACAACACAGATTTCCCTTGGAGGCTCGAATGCAACTTTCCACTTGACATCTGGAGACGGGAGAGGGAACACAGATGGAACTGCGACACCTTGCTTAGCAAGGGCTTTTATAGCTGCCAAAGGATTCCAAGGTGCAATAGAAGGAATAGAGATGCAGTGGGCGCGTAGAGCAAAAAGAAAGTGATCGAGCTGTTGTCGACCAGACTCTTTAGGTCGGACATTGGGAAGGAGTGCATCAATCTGAAAAAAGGTAAGCTCGATGAGTCGTCACTAAAATAATCTAGCCAAACCTGAAGCTTGAATGAACCAGACTGATAGAGATCAGCTGCATCCTTGATATCTCTTAATTCATGACCAGTCAGAGGTTCTATGGATATCACATAGGTCAGACTGTGTTTACTATGAAGTGAAACATACCTTCTCTGCCATGGCGATTGGTATTTTCGGACTCGACTTGGTTCATTGCACCGGCATGTATTAGCGTGATCGTCACGGTAGAGACCTTGCAAGGCCAGCTTAAGTGCAGCTGCTTGTCAGTAAGTACGATCGCAAATTGCAATGAAAAAAGCTAGTATCACGTGACCATTTGAGGGGTTGGCAATGCAAAACAAGCAAGTTTGCCGCGTGCTCTCGTTCTTTCACTTTCTCTATGGACGGACTACAAGGCCCTCAAATTGAAGCATTACAACAGCTACAAAGTATCCTTGGTCCACATGACACGGAATTTGTGGTCAGCGTACTTGAAAGTGTTTCATGGGATGTTCAAGTGAGTATTGACTTATAGTCTGTGATGTTTTGCGGTTGATCGCGGGCCCGCAGAAAGCCACAGACCTACTATTCGATAATGAAACTCCCAAACTTATAGCACCAACACAGGCCATTCCAATGGAACAGTTGGAGCTAGATGACAGTGAAGACTCGTCACCCACAATCCGACACTCTCACCGTGGTCAAGGTGTACGAACATTCAATTTTCTAGCTGTCTATGGACAATTGACACCCCTTGCAGAGCCCGCGGTCAAATTGGAGTTTCTTATGGTCTTTACTAACTGTTCCATTGCACCTTGTGTCGGGAGTTTTGCGCTTCGTGTTTAATGTTCTCCGCATACCAATACCGTCCCTACCATTCATGACTACAAATTCCTATCATTCTCACCGCCCCACCTCTCCTGATTCACGCAGCATTACCCAGAGGTGGGTGCAACAACTCGAGGAAGAAACAGGTGCATGTTCTGCAAAACGTACCATGACGAACGCGGTCACGACAGGATTCGAGGCAGGCCCATCAACTGCAAGACGTCATACATATCCACCTGCGGCTTCGGATGATAATCAGAAAATTCTACCTGACTTTTTTGATGGTACCTATGAAGAGGTTCTTGATATTTGTCAGAGAGAAGGGCGCATAGCATGCGTTGTCCTCGTGAGCGCCGAGCACGATGATGATGCAGATTTTAAGAGGTACGTCATGTTCACCTGTACACGATGTACGATGTGTCATATTGTTCTCTGGGCACAGGTCTACCCTTACCGACGCAGCTTTCGTCAAGATCTTGCTGGATAATGATTTCATTGTCTGGGGTGGGGACATCCGGGACAAAGCTGCATGGGATGGTATGTTCCATTTAATTTATCTTCTACAATGATAAAGCCTTGTCCAGCCTCGCAGAAATTGCAAGCAACTACGTATCCCTTTGTGGCTTTCCTCGCGCTTCAGCCTAGGCGCCATGGCGCTCCTTCTGGTGCTTCCCCGGTTGTCACCACCCTATCACGTCACCAGGGTCGCGCAGCCACAACTGCTTCGGTATTGATCGACCATCTCAATACGCAGCTACTTCCACGTGTAACACCGTTCCTTGTACGATTCAAGACAATGTTACAGGACCGTGACCGTGATCGGCGTATACGTGAGGAGCAGGATCGCGCATTCAGGGAGACGGCTCGTAGAGATCGTGAGGCCATCGAGATGAGAGTGCGACAAGAGAAAGAGGAGGAGGAACGTGTACGACAGCATGCAGAGGACGTAAAAAGAAAGCAGGAAGATTCAGCGAGGCAGAAGCACCAAGCCGGAATACGTATGGAGTGGAGGAAGTTCATGCGCAACCGTCTCCTGTTACCCGAGGCGCGCGGCTTGAGACTGGCCGTCAAATTGCCCGGCAATGGACGAGTTGTCCGCAGTTTTCCTCCGTCGGCGACCCTTACCGCCCTCTATGCCTTTGTTGATTCGCAACTTATCCCGTCCACTTCTCGTCCAGAAGATGACCCTTCGCAAGCACCGGAGGGAGTTGTCAATGATATCCCACAGCTTGATTCTTATATTCAGAGCAGGACGGCAGGACACGCGTGGTGGGGCTTTACACTTGCTTCAGCCTACCCCCGGAGGGAATTTAGGTGGAAGGCGAATGTGTCTTTGACAGAGACAGGATTGAGAGATGGAGAGCAAATTGTCATGGAATTAATCACCGGACATGAGTCCTCTAATGGTCATATCTCTGACGACGAGTACGAGTCAGAAAGCGACTAGATCCCTTGTCATAATGCATTTGTTGTTGTTATTTATGGATGGACATATGGAATAGATACAACGAGGTCCAGGCATTGATAGAGAACAAGGTGCTGTGGTCATTGACTGAGTATTGTGCGCACAAATGATTCGTAATTCACGTTTCCGTCGCTGAATTGAGTAGTCAGCTACGTATGCCGGCAAATAGAGATTGGTTGCTTACGGGCCGATCTGAACACCCTTGAGCAATTCATCGACCTCCTCGTCTGACATCTTCTCGCCAAGTTGCGTCAGCACATATCTCAGTTCTCCAGCCCCAATAAAACCATTCCCTTCTTTATCAAACACCTGGAATCCTCGGATGAACTCCTCTACATAACGATCAACGGATTGTGATGCTACAACGAACAATGTGAAACATACCAGGTGTTCCTGCAGGCTTGAAACCATCTGGTCTATTGAGGATCGTCAAAAATGTCTTGTAGTCAACTGCCCCAAAGTAAATTACCATAGCACCAATATCAATCAAAAGTAGCCAACTGACCTTCTCGTGGTGCATTCGCGATGATCTCGGTCACTTCAGCCTGGGTTGGGTTCTGTCCAAGGGCACGGAGGAGATCGCCCAATGTTTCTCGTGGAACAGCGCCTGTACCCTTCTTGTCAAAGAGCGCGAAGGCTTCCTTATACTCTGTTAAGCGGTCAGTCTGCGATATACTAGCTAGATAGCACGGAACAGCGGACCTGCATTATCACTCTGTAAGAATCAGTTAAAGTTGGCGCATATAGATGTTTGAACGCGAGACTCACCATGGCTGCTCTGTCGATGCCATCAAACGTTTTGGGTTCATCAGTACAATGAATGATACTTACATAATCATCGAGTTTTATAAGTTATCTGGTGTTTGCAACACGATTTCATCGACACGGAAGACATGAAGACACTTTTCTTTTCATTTGAGTTATGCCGAAAGCCTACTTCTTGAACTTTTAACAGTCATATGTACATGCTGCCCTCACCAACCTCCGCAAGGTTCTGCCTCTTTTTTGACAAACCAAACGCACTCCCTGCAGGTGTACTTCTGAGTGCCCAAGTACCGGATGGTTTCGCGCCAACTACCCCAAACAACTTTTCGTTCACTTCCACCATCATTTCAACAGACCATGCTTGATCTCCTGACGGTCGTGAAAGTCTACTAGTTAATAGTTTGGATGGCGCGGCGCGAGGTATCTCTGGTGACGGAAGAAGTAAAATCACTGCATTACTTTGATAGGACGAAGATAGGGTGCGTATGTTCATCGCAGACATGAATGCCGCCGATATCGACTGGAGAATATTTGGAGGCGCAAAATTTTGGAAGGGATCCTGGAAATAGTTCGGTCAGAAGATCACTTGATATGAATGACATGCATACCAAGGATGTGTTCCGTAGAGACAAATAGCGAACGGGCGCTTCATGCACAGGCAAGGGCTCTGATGAAATGTAGCTTTGTATGGGATACATATCGAGGATGGAAATGCTGAAACGTTGAAACGGTCAGGTTTGTTCACAACCACAGATAGAGCACTCACGCGGATGGTTGGAGGTGATCCAGGATATCATTCACATACTTGTTCATGGACCATAACGGCAACGTCGTAGTAGCCTCGGACACCAGTACAACCGTACGGGTTGATGAGGGTTTAAAAAGAAATCCCACCTGTAACACTTGATCTTTGTCCGCTCATTGAAGAGCATAGAGCATGCGCTAACCTGAATATTGTTGACGAATATTGCACCCTGCTGTTCCCCTAGGTCTGCGCCATCAGCCCAAAAATTTCCTGCAGGACCTGATGCGATGACAAGGGGACAGCCAGTGGTAAATTGACCCTTGACTTTTATTTTCACAATCGGAACATGGTCAGCTCGTTGGGTAGTTAGTGGGTTGTATTCATCCTCGTCATCGGACTCGATGGCGTAACGTGGCGGAAGGGCATCGGCCAAAGGATCAATTTCCTACAATCCAGATCAATCACGGATGCGTCTTTGCTGAAGAAACTCACCATGTTTCAAGGTTGCGGACAAGATATCGAATGCGTAGGATGACGCGTTCTGCTAAGAAGCGTAGTAGTCGAACAAGGTTTACGGGTCCGACAGTCTGGGCGTAGCTATTATTGACTAACATGAATAGCCGCTGGCTCGGTGTCAATGGTGTCCACGCCGTGCAGCACTGACGCACGCTCTGATCCTGTCTCAGGTTTGCTTTCCTACTTTTCACGGATTGGTTGACATTCAAAATGCTTCTAGACATCAATACAAATAAAAGTTACTGGAAATACGACGGCTACATTGCTCTCCCTGGCAGTGATAATACAGGCTGTACAGCATAAAACACAACGACCGAAGGTCATCGCTTGTTGGTATACATCTAGCAGTACACTGGGAAAGGGATAATAGGCGGGCTGTCATCGGTGTTTTCCAGGTTTGCGAATCGCCTATATCATCATTAGATGATATTACGTGAAAGCTGTAAGAACAACACACCGGAATTGAACCATGTTGACCTTCTTCATGTGTTAGTAGATGAATGATGTCGGATACGGAAAACGTACAGATGCCTTAAATACAACAAATATGTGCGTCTCGTCATGAGTGTCAAGAGATTCACATTCTCCACATAGGTCTTTCGCGCAATACGCGCAACGGTACCATGCTCCTTGAATACGCTCCATACAGCGATCGCAGAGCGCTGTGGAGTGAACTAAATGATAGAGATACTCTGTGAATCTTCAATGTGAGTTTGAAAGTTTATCAGCATAGTCGACAAACCTTGTGGATCTGCGTTGGGTGCGAGGCCGCCAACAGAACCTGCTGGGACCTTGTACCTACCAACGTGTCACTGAATAACCTCGATGGATTGTTACAATTCAAAGCTCACAATTTCGGAAGGAAACCAGACGGTGACTCGAGTTGTACATTAACAGGTCTCGGTATCTTGAAAAAAGAGTGCATTGGGTCATGGATGGTATATGACTTCTGCTCGCGGCCCGCATGATTGTCACTTAACATTCGTGATGAGAGCAGTGTAAGTGTGTAATTGCAATGCACATACCAAGCTGTATGCAGTGGGTGAAGAGGGGCATGTAGCACATTGATACCGTGTACCAATTATTGTCTGGAGAGTTGTCAGCCCTTCATGGGAGTATGATTGCAGGGACCAAACCTGGTTGCAGCCCTTGCAGGACAAGCGGTGGTTCAGTGACTCGCCATCGAGCGCACTTCGAGCATGTCTCGAGCCAACGACTGTCTGAGCATATGAAGAGTATACAGAGCCTGGTTTGGAGCGGGATGCAGTCAAAACATGTGCTGCGTCCCTGCCTGTCCATAAATGGATGGCACGGCGGCTGGCTGTTTGCACTTCTGTTGTTTCAAGTGGATAGGGAATCTTGAAAAAATGAGCAGAGTGTTCGACCTGAGAAAGATAACAAATACTTTTATCATAATATGCGAGGATTTGTGCCCCTCGTCCGAGGAGTCCAAGTTGCCTGGAAGTCCTGCAGATTCGCAATTGGAGCAAATGTCGATGGAGTCGCAGATCGCGCAGTGGAATCGGGCACCAAGAATATCTTGTAAACAACTGAAATCCATCAGGTAGTACTGTAATCATGTCGCCATAGGCCACCTACTGTGCACACTTGACGCCGGGATGTTTCATAGCTACAAAGATAGCAGTGAGAGAGGACAGACAACTGTTGCTTAAAAGACTCACAACGTTCCTCATTATTGTCGTTTCACATTATCACCCCGTCATGAGGCTGTGCAGCACCGTGACTGGCGCACTTGTCCTTACATAGCGGTCGTCGTTTTTACTTTTGGAGCTAATACAGGCTGTACAGCATAAAACCCAACGACCGAAGGTCATCGCTTGTTATTAATAAGACGCGGTCGTGACGCGCCGTCGGCTGTGATACATCTTGGTCCTTCAAGTTTATGCCATCTCACACCCTCATTGTTTACTAAATATGATTGTTATCTCAAATGATCCTACTTGGTGGCCGTCCATCAATTCGTATCGTCTTATAAGCTATTTTACAGGTTCGTGGAGGACAGCCGAATGTTGACGCTGCCGATATCTTGATCTAACCTTGACTACGGTTTTCCAGTTGCTTCCTTTGTTGTAGTGATGTATGATTGGGGTGAGCATGATAACACTGAAGAATGCGTGGTTGCCTATACATATTTCCAGCACTTACATTTGGACAGGAGGTATGTTGATGCTAGTATGACTGGAACAGCCATCTCGCTAAGAATGATTTTATAGGTTGAACTGGTCTGGGTGAGTACAGTCTCACGTCAGAGGAATACACTTAAAAATACACTTAATTCCAGAGGCAACGCTGGTCCCTAATGACAGTTCTGTATATCAGTGTGTGTAGCTTGTCTGTCACGGTTGTCATGTTGTGCTGACTTGAAAGTATCCTAGATTCGCTATCTTGGAATAATATCTACTGTGTATGTTTGGAAGGCTCATCACTGTTCGTGTAGTGCTAATGATTTCACAATCAGCTTGTACATGATATGTATGTCTTTTTACGTTTGATATCTTTACTTCTTCTGACCGGCGGCATACAGGCGGTGTTCCGACGATCTCGGCGACAGATACAGTCAGTCTTCTGCACCAATTTCTGCTATTTCTCTCAAATTAACCGCAGCGCCCTGTAGAAGCGAGTGTGATTCTCTACTAACTTGGTTCGCTAATGACTGTCACTATAGATGTAAGTCTGTTTAGAGTGTGTGCTACAAGGCTGGCCGCTAACTAAATTTGTCAGGCTTTATTATGTACGTCGTATGGGATTGGATGGGTTTTGTGGTATTTGCAATGCTGTGGGGTGAGCTTGGCATTTGCAAGGCCTCGGTGATATTGACTAGACTAAAACAAGTCATCATCATCACTCGGTTACATGCCATGTATCAAGGATCCAGAAAAATCCAGATTTTTCTTACTGTCACTTTCCTAGTTGTCAATATTTTCAACGGAGTGGTCGGTATACTGTTGATGATGCATTCTTCAGGGAGTACGTTTAATTTTGGACGACCAAAAAATGTGCATTTTTATAATGATGAATACCAGATGAACGTATTCTCTCTGGCACCTATCAGTGCTCGACTAGCAGTCCAGAAAATGCTATATTTCTGGATTCCATTTCTTGGGTACTCGCCACTGTGTGGGAAGTCCTCGCACTGTGTCTCGCAGCCTGGATTGCTGTAAAACACTTCCGTGATGTGCGACGACACTCTGTAGGAGGGATTTTCGGGGACTGTTTCACGGTGTTGATGAAAACTCACGTAGTTTACTTTGCGAGGTGAGTCCATATTATAAATATAGTTCCCTTGATCCGCTGAGGGATCGAAACTGCTAGTTTTGCTGCTGTTGCTTGCCTCCAGCTCATTATGCTTTTGTCTCCCACGATCTCAGTGGTATGTCAACCCCCCCTGACCTCTGCATGTGACCACGATTCATCATTACTATAGAACCAGTTTTCCCGGGAAACTGAGTTTTATTATGGCTTCCTTCAGATTTTGATGGTCATTCAGTCGTTTGTGCTGGGACCACGCCTGATCCTTAGCATTCGAGAATATCATGCTAAGCTCGTAGCCGACTCCGACGCAGCAACCGGCATGACCTCAATTGCTTTCCAGGAGCGCGTGCATATATCGACTGGCAATGGTGTGTAGCACGGGAGATGCTCGGTAGATCTAATGGTTATCTAGTGCTCTGCCAGGAGCAGCAGGAAAGCTCATTTTTATTGACTCCCATTTTTATTGATTTATGTAAGTTATGTGGTGTTGCGAAGTGAATCTTGTAAAGGAGACATAGGTCTGGGCAATATTTTCGTTGTAGTATTTATCTAAGTGAGTAGCTATAGGTCTTAATAATGAAGCTTGGATGAAAAAGAACAACATCATGTATTGACATTGGAAGCACTCATTAAACGCAAAATGAAATAAAGAGACTTGGCTTGCATATGCATTTGGATTCGGTGAACATATAACATGCCAGGAATAAGCGAGTCCGAGGGGGCTGGCGCCCGGCGGCACCGTTTGTGGCGCCGCGACTGACATGAAGCGGAATCCGGATTGTCAGCCAATTCATAGATAGAATTCCATCATGTTCACCTTGAAATTGGTACGGTGCCGTGGTACAGCTCTGCGTACCTTCACGTCGACTGCAAGCCGAAGCCATGAAAATCCTTTGGTAAGTTGAAGAGCTTTCAGGTCTGCGTGTCTGATGATGCGTCCTAGTAGGGCCTCCCATTTCGACCGCCCTCTACACCTCAAATGCCCCGACGCGGCGGGCTAATCCAAAAACGACATATTGAGCATGTAAAGAAGGTAATTGTTGTAGCAAGTGGAAAGGGGGGCGTGGGCAAGAGCACAATAGCAGGTACGTCCCAGCAATAATCGAACGGAACCTTGGAATGACCACGAATGAAGTAAATCTTGCTTTTTCCCTTGCAATGCTGCCTCATCGACCGCGAGTCGGCATACTTGACTTGGACATTTTTGGGCCTTCTATACCTACATTGATGGGACTTCAGCATTCGGACGACCCACGTTTAACTTCTGGTTCGTTTTCTGGCACACACCGTAAGCTTTCAGGTGACTCTGTTACTAGCTGGTGCTCTCGTCCCCATAATCAATCATGGAATTCCTACCATGTCTATGGGCTACCTGGTCCCTCGGCCACCACCTGACTCTACGGAATTTGAAGGGGCAATTGTCTGGCGCGGCCTTATGGTTCAAAAAGCCGTGCAGCAACTCCTCTTCGATGTTGACTGGCGGGATGCTTGTGGATCTGGTCCTGGGCTGGACGTACTAATAATAGATATGCCCCCAGGGACGGGAGATGTTCCTCTTACACTGGGACAGTTAGTTGTCGTTGACGGTTCGCTTCCACGAGCTCTTCAGATGATGTTCGTCATCTAAAACGAAATAGGCGCAGTCATCGTTTCAACTCCACAGGACGTCGCACTAACAGATGTGAGAAGAGGAATTTCTATGTTCAAAAAGATCTCAGTTCCGGTAAGCATTGTATATACTGTCTTTCGGCTTCATCCTATTTGTGTTCGTTGCCATCTGCAGATAACAGGCCTCATCCTTAACCAAGCATCATTCCTGTGTCCTTCTTGCAACACCGCGCATGAGTTATTTGGGACTTCAACTAATGCATCGCGCCTTGGGATTCCTCTCCTAGCGCAACTACCTCTTGTTGGGGGCGTGAGCTGCGGTGGAGACCGCGGCATTCCATACGTCCTCGAAGGCAAAAATGGAGGTGACAAGGATGGCAAGGCGGGAGAGATATGGCGAGATGCGATGAACGAAGTGGCAAGCAAAATGTGGGGGTTAGTTCACAGTTGAGTGGGTGCTACCATGCAAGGTCCTTTACTTTGCTTCGGAATTTCACTCAAGGAGCTTGGCATGGAAACAGCACGAGTGGAGGCAACATATCGACCTGTTTCTACCACCTAGCTTTAGTGCATGGAAGATAGACTCCGCTTGCTACACCTTCACTATCCGTCGCATTACATGGAAAGGCCGTGCTCTATTGCATCTGCCGTGAATAATGATATAACTGTAATACAAGAAATGAGTCCGAATGTGCAATTGCACAACATAAAACTGTAAATATGGACAACACTACACTCCAATAGATTCGTATCAACACGCTGAGAATCCTCCAAAGTCTAAAAATGCCTCTTCCAGTGACATTTTTCGAACAACAAGCGCCTCGACGATGAGCCGAGGTTCTGACAGTGCCGTCTCGATCTCAGAAGTAGGAAGTTTGGACGGAATCAGCGTGATATCAGGTGGAGAGGCCAACTCGTTTGCAACGGGTTGGGGCTGACAATATGTTTCCGCAAAAATAGAAGAGTGTGACCCAGAGCATACTTCGACAATTTGAGCGTCTATTTTTAAGACAATATCAACCGCTGGAGTGTAGACAGTGGAATTGAGGCTACCTTCGAGGTGTGCACTGTCATGCACTGAGGACTCAATTTCGGGAGGCACGAACGCCACACACAGGCCTTCAGGCTCAAGTGTGACATGAAAGGATTCTAGGCCTGAGACCAGCTCGCCCATTTCCCCAGCGTTAATGGTTGGAACATGCATGAGATGAGGATCGCGCTTGGTCTCACGTCGCTTGTCTCTGGCTGCGCGGCGCTTGGATTGCTTGCTACCAGTCATTGAGTGGGCTTGCATTTCAGTTGAGTGTACAGGGTCTGTATCTGAGTTGTGAACATTGGAGTGGTGCAAGTGATGTGTATGATGCTCGGAATGTGAACTAGGCTGGGCACGGGTGTGCGCAAGCAAATGCTTAGGTTTTTTGCCCTTGCCTTTGCGCCTATCTGAGTGGCCTGGCATAGTGCTCGCAACACGGCGGCGGAATGGGCGAGGTTTATACACGGTCGCAATCTCGAGGTCCAGGGTAAGTGCCGCACGGTCTGATAACGAGTCAACTTCCTCATTGTCCATGCAGAACACTTCCACGTGGCTGCTTGTTGTTGCAAAATCATCGTCCGCATCGATAGTCTCCAGTTCGGTCTCCGTAGTCGTTGTTGTCTCTGAGTCCTCATTTATCATTTGCCTCCGTCTCCTTCGCCTGCTTTCATCCCCGCCCCAGCTTTCAACAACTCCGCTCACCTCCGCTGGCACCTCAATCTCCTTCACCACTATAACGCTGGCACCAATCTCGCCAGCCATCTCTTCTAGGGTACCCAATGTTTCCTCCATCTCCCGCCTCTCCAGCCCTATGAGTACGCCAGAGTCGGCAACACCAAGCTCATAGTATGCCTGTCCACCGCCTTCTAGAAGGCGCCATTTGAGTTGTGTGACGAGGCGGGTAAAGCGAGAGGGGGAAGGAGAAAGGAGATGAAGCTTGTACTCTACATTACCCTGTGAGTGGTAAATACAAATGGGTATTAGCGCATGTAATAAACGGTAATAAAACGCACCTCTTCGTTTTCTGGAACTAGCTGCGGTGTTCCTCGTCGAAGGATTTCGTTGTGTGTGGGTGTTGGAGGTACGGAAGTGAGTGTGTCCCATGGGGAGGGCACTCGTGGACTCTCCGAGTCAGATTCACCGAACATCTGGGACTATGTGCGCCAGGAAAATAAACCTAGCTAATGCGTTTGGAGAAACAAAGATGCAATAAGTTGTTCAGTGTATTCGAGTGATCATCACTTATTGGACTTCTTACTTAGTCTCTACTTCTTGGTACTTCTTGGTACTGTATCATAGTGATTCACCATCGACACTCGGCCCCCCGTTACGTAACTCGTTTACTCATAAGGCGCGCGCTTCGCTTTTTGTACACCTCAGCGTTTGTTCTGACTCACGCTGAGGTATGTCTTGATATTCTTGTAGACCTAACTCGTAGACTAATGTACTCTAGACTGACTCGTTCTAGGTACATTGCAATATAGTGTTTGTTCTGACTCATGCTGAGACTGACTCGTTCTAGTCTACAGGTTATGAGCCCTGAGCTTTAATTAGCTCAAAAATCAGACCAGGAACGATTAAACTCACAGAACATGCTGAGGATGCTCAACCACTGATTAAAAATCAAATAGCTATTCTTACTGTTCTGTAACATATTGTCCATGGGAAAATTCGATCATATCGTGGAGCTGCTTGGTGCAGACACTTACCCAAGCTGGCGACATCAGGAAAAAACATAGTGACTACATAGTGCTATATAGTCAGGGTAGCGCGAGTAGCCCCGTTGTCAAGTGCCCTCTATGTAGTCACCATAGAGTCCCATAGTAACTACCAGTAGCTACGAGGTACTACCGTAGTTTGTCGGAGTGCTACTGCACGCAGCTATAAATTACTACCAGCAGCTATATAGCACACCAAAGAACCTCGTAGTCACAATTAAATTCAACTACCTGAAACACAAACTAGCATAATACGAACGTCTTACTCACTGCGTCCCTATTCATCATCCCCACCCTCGCTACTAGGATACTCATACTCCTCGACCTCATCCTCGACTGCCGCATCCTTCCCCTCACGCTGGTACTCTCGAATAGCATCTTCAAACGCCGCGTCGTCGATGTGGGCCTGGGATGTAGCTGACAATGGAATGAGTGATGCGACACCTGTGTGGAAGCTGAGAAGCGCGAGCATTAGAAGAGTCAGTGAGATAAGAGTCCAACATACCGTGCTGTATCATGCAGATTGATATGAATTTTTGAAAGGAGTTTGTAAGGTGCAGTGCGCTCATCAAAGCGTTGCAGTGAGCTTAAATGATGGTTGTAGACGGCCCCATAACCAGCAGATGTGAACTTGATGTCCTCTTTGATGCCTTGCGACCACTCATCAACACAACATTCTATCTATAAGATATTGTCAGCATCATCAAGTTGAAAGTAAGAATGTGAAAAACGGCTCACAGCCGTAAGCACGAGCGCAATAGTTTTGATAGGGATGGGGTCGAAGTATTTGTGGTAGATGACACCCTCGTCACTTCGGTTCAAGAACCACATGCTGTTGATACCCTGTTGAAGCAACTCGGTCTTGTAGATGCCTGACTTGGATGACGGGTCCTATTGCTCAATGTCAGCACTAAGTTATGTAGACCGTCGAATACTCACCTTGAAAACAAAGATCGAGCCAATTTTCAATCTCTCTGCGAGATCTCGGTTTGACCTTATCACCTCCATAGAATTACTTGAGCGGAAGCCATGAAATGAAGCTGTGAGCGGACGCATCTTCATCTTGAGTTCGCCTCGCACGTGTGAAGCACGTTTCAACAGCTTTGAACGAATAAGACCAGGAATGCACTAAAAATACTGTGCTCACCATATCCACCACCGAAGGGGTCAGTTTGACGTCAACACCTTTGAGTTGACATGCCTCGCGCCAGGCCTCTTTCGCCAGTTTTGTCTCAGCTGCAACGGAATCCGGAAAAGGTGCCTGTGTGACGATGAGACACTGATAAATGGAGCAAGCAGTTATGAGAATCTCTTTCGAGATTTCGTCAAAGTCGCTGGCTTTCACGCGTCGACGCGAACCGTCAGCGTTTTTCTTGACCTTCGGCACCACGGTATCTTCATACGACATGTCATCAAATGATCGCTTGGTCCCTCGAGCTGCAGGCAACTGTTCGTCGTCGTCATCGTCAGCATCGTCGGCAGCGTCATCGTCGTCATTGTCTGTTGACTCGTCAACATTATGTGGTGCTGTTTGATGGAGGGTTAGTAGTGTAATTATATAAAGTAAAAACATACCTTTTGGTCCTTTTTTTTTTTGGTTGTAGGTATGGATGAGTTGCGCAACCTTGGAGGGATTTTCCCTGTACTGAATGTCAGGCTATTAGTGTTGGACAACCTTGTATCGACACTGTGGTCAGAGAACTGAAAAAAATAAATGTCAGCGGCTGATTTAAGATGAGGAAAGAAAACAAAAGCTCGTACCATTGTGTCTTCTTGCCTGTCCATGTCGCTAAGGAGCTCTGACGGCTCTTTCTCGAAGACGTCAGGATGCCCTTGGTAGGCAGCCTTTAAGGCCTTCTTCTTCTGTTTTGCCGTCTGGGTTTCCTTGATTTCTTGGCGATGGACAACATGTTGGGATTCACTGACTGTAGAACGAGATGGTGAGTGAGCGGAACATAATGTGCTGGTACTTACGATGGTAGTTCTCTTTTTCAGTTGGTCGCCGCTCTCGACCACTTGCAGTGCGCACCTGCTGTTTTGCGGCAGGTGGTGAGGGGGCGCGCTTTTGTTTCGCGGCAGGTGGTGAGGGGGCGCGCTTTGGCTTGGAGGTAGGCTTACGAGGTGCCATGGTTGTCTAGTCAAAGTACACAGCAGGTCAGCACAATTTATACCACTGCGAAACAGACAAATAACTCACAATTGAACCTTAATAGTTCGTTGATTGTTGATTTGAAGAATGAAGGGCTGAAAGCTGTGTCAAATGAGAGGGACGATAAAAAGGTATGATCATACTGTCACAATTTATTTTCACTGTTATGAATACCCCCGACTCGTCAAAAAAACGGTATGGAGCTTGCTTCAAAACTCACTGTGCTCTGACGAATCTTGCAGCCCGATGTCACAAATTGCTGGTCGCAAAGAGGCTGGCTGTGAAGACACGAAGATTGACGTCAAAAGGTTAGTTGCCGTTCCACATTACACTCAAATACTCACCGGCTTGCAGACCCAAGCTCGAAAGGCCTGATGCAGAGCCCATGTTCCTGCGCCCTCTGTTTCGTCAAACACCTGGCCCTGTCACAGCTTCCCAGAATTACATACGAAACCTAATTCTGGAGCGTTGGGAGGCAGAAGTGAAGGCCTGTGAGCAAGCAAAAAAACTGCAACTGTTAGAAATAGCACCAGGCCCAGCTATTAGTATCTTACAAGCGAGCATATGAAGGCTCGTCGTTGAGCGCTGGGATGCGGAGGTGAAACGGTGCGAGGAAGCCAAACGGGCGCAGCTTTTAGAGGTACTTCTGGCCGCCCATGGTATTTCCAAACTAACGTAGCACATCAGATTAGCTAGTATCAGAGACGAGAATTAACATACTAGAATTGGTCATTGGCTCTCTCGATCTTGTTCTCTCGCTAGACGAGGAAGATTGTAATGGAGGTTGTGTGTTGGGAACTAGGCAAGATGTAAGTATCATTCAAACCGATCAGAATAAGAGCACGTACCTATCTTACTGTAGACGGAATGACCAGGATCTCTGCCTATCTTACTGTAGACGGAATGGCAGGATCTTTGCCTATCTTACTGTAGACGGAATGACCAGGGTAAGCAGAATGGCGGGCAGGATCTTTGCCTATCTTACTGTAGACGGAATGGCAGGGTAAGCAGAATGGCAGGGAGGATCTTTGCCTATCTTACTGTAGACGGAATTGTGTTGGGAACTAGGCAAGATGTAAGTATCATTCAAACCGGTCAGAATAAGAGCACGTACCTATCTTACTGTAGACAGAATGGCAGGGTAAGCAGAATGGCAGGCAGGATCTTTGCCTATCTTACTGTAGACGGAATGACCAGGGTAAGCACACCTCATGGATCATCCTCAAAAAAAAAAAAAAACCCGTACCTGGTTGCGACTTGGCGCATGGATTGAGTCTAAATGAGGCCGTAACTTTGGCATACTGATCGAGTCTAAACGAGACCGTAATCCGTAGGTTTGTGAGGGTGCGTCTGGTGGCAGAACTGGGATAAGTCCCTCTTGCACTTTGTGAGGGCACATCTGGTTGCAAGATCAGGATAAGCACACCCCTCCCAATCAACAAACCCAGCCGCGCACCTCATGGATCGTCCTCCCAATCAACAAAACCAGCCAAGACTTGCCGTACTTTCCAACTCATTAAGGGTTGTGTGGTGTGGTGTGGTGTGGTGCTCGGATCTAGTTGTGGCGCGGCGCCCAGTAACTGCGCCCAGTTTAAGTCTAGACCAGGCCATTGAAAAAAAAAAAGGGCATACTACAATGAGACAAGTCACCTAAGACCAGGGCGAAACACTCACCAACTCACATACTATGTCGCACTGCTGTACATTTTGTGGCAAGGAGTTCCCTATGAGGGGGGGCATCAAGAGACACATAGCTAACCAGCCTAAATGCAGAACGGCATGGGAGTTAACGATTGAAGAAAAAGACTTGGAAGACAATGCACCTTCTATGGAGAACGACGATGCTGGCAACTCATTTTCCCCACTTCGCCGCTCATGGTCCAACTCTTTTGAGGCTGATGAACTTAATCCGCCGGCACCAAAAAGTCGGCGTGTGACGGTCGAGGATGTCGCTGACGAAGGTGAGGTAGTGGATGAAGGTGAGGTAGTGGGAGGTGGTGGGCGCTATTTCAAGCAATGTTCTGATGGTGGATGGGCACTGCGGGAAGGGGAAACTGAATTTGAACGATACCGGAAGTACAAGGAAGGCATGGGTGAGGACGAGTGGGCTCCATTTTGTGACGAGTACGTACCCTTTCATGTTGATGGCCTCTGCCTGACTTTAGCTGCCAGGGAAGAGTGGGGTCTCGCTGAGTGGCTTGTAAAAAGCCTTGGGCAGACTCGAACCGATGAATTTCTAAAGTTACCGATTGTAAGTTTGGCATCAAGCACCGAAAAAATGTACTGACCAGCGTGATAGACCCGAAACTGAATGCAAGCTTCATTCCACAACAACCGATCATTCCTCAAGAAGGTTGATGAACTCCTGCATGGAGCCGCCTGGAGCTGTAAGAAGATTAGCGTTCAGGGAAATAGAACGGACGAAAAAGGCGAACCGTTGCACGAAGATGTTGAACTGTGGATGCGCAATCCTGTAGAGTGCATCAAGGACTTGATCGGAAATCCT